TATAAAGGTATTAGAAGCATGAAAAAGTTTTGGGAAGTAAATTACTTCAAAACAGGGCCAAAAATGTCATTTTTAAGTGTTTTGGTCCATATGCCGTGGCTCGTGGTCCATGCATCGCGGCTTGTGGTACAAAATGCCATGTTTTCTCGCTATACCGTGCACCGCGGCTTGCGCGAAATGCGCCGCGGCGCATGTGTCCATGACAGCAATGCTGTCATGATAACTTTTCTAGACGAACTTTGAATGCGCGCTATTTTCACATTCGATGTTCGATTAGAGTGATTCAAGCGCCCACACAAAGCTTATTCAATAAGCTAACTAATGGTACAAGTTTTGTTACGATTCAATAGTGTATGAGAATTTTAGACACTCGGATGTAAAAGTCAGTTTTTTCAAGAAATTTTCAACCATCCAAGTATCCAAAACTCATAGCTAATACCATTAACCCATTGTGAGGCTTAAACCAAGTCCAATGGATCAAAATATATTTGAGTAACCAATCAAATACACAAAAACATACCAAACACAAAATTTGGCTACTCAATAACCATTTTGCCTAATATGGCCAAAATGCACAATTAGCACTACAAGCACTATTTGGCCTCTATTGCCACATAATACACTACCAATACATTATCACCACATAGATAAAACATTCCTTGCACTTGTATTAGTATTTTAGCCCATCACCATAAAAATTACCACATATCCACCTCATATACAATATTGGGCTAAAATATACCACAACATAGTATGAAACAAGTGCAACTAATCAAAATGATATGCATCCCTAATAGGCAACATATAATATCATATAACAAGTTTATGTACACTACTCAAACCAAAATCGAGCTTTACAAAGAGTGTAGCAGATATGCTAGCCCCTGCCCGATTCCCTCCCTAGCTCAGTCTCACTAGTAGTACCTGTAAAATGATAATCCACAAGGTGAAATATAAATCTCAGTAACTAAGATAATCTACATTATTGATTAACAAGCCAAGTTATAAACAAGTATTAAAATGAGTAACATAATTACATCATATAATAATACCACAAATTTGCATGCATAATTCCTAACTATCCGGTCCTCCAATACTCCCGACCGTACCAATAGGCTATTTCACAGAATCAAACCACATGTATGGTCCCCAAGCTCACCATCCATGATAAGACTACCTAGCCAAGGTGTCCTAAACCACTTCTGGACTACTGTTTCCCCCTATTACAAGTAATTAGGGTGTCATTACTCCAACACCACATCCTACAAATGCTAAGGAGCATAGTCCCTAACTCCGCACCCTTTTGGGTACTAAGGAGAGTAAGTCTCCAACACCACACCCATTTTTGGGTACTAAGGAGAGTAAATGCTGCACTTGGCGTCCCGAGGGTCATCAATGTCATATAGACTTAATCTTTACTATCTCCACTAAGGTGACCTCCCACCCTCTAATATGCCACATTTCACTACATATCTCCACTTGATCATGCATAAACAATTTTTCAAGCAAGTATAACAAAATCTTTCCATTAACTTCAAAAATATAGAATTTTACAAAACCAATACTCCACTTTTTCTAAAATAGATAACCTTTAAAGAATTTATGCATATATACTCAACAAATCATAGAAAAGCACTTGAGAATAACTTATACAAGGTAATAAACAATGCAAATTATCTAGTTACCTCAACCCTTTTGTTACTAAAAGGGTTACCCGTGGTACTAATTCTCTTCTTGTGTCAAAGTAAGTCTTCCCACACCACAATCTACATCAACAAGTATTATATGTTAATTTTCATTTAACACAAGCACCATTAGCTAATAATAACCTCCCAATTCTCCCACTTCTCACTCAAATTCTCAACAAATAGACTTGTCAATATCAGAATTTATTCACTTCATCCCTTTAAGTCTCTTTCTATCTCTATCACAACATAAAACTCAATATCTCAACTTATCACACTTCAACACCCTCTGATCAAGTTGGGGCTCGATCCAAAATTCACTAAACAAGAAAATAGCTTCCTATTACCACATATCCAAGATCAATAAACCTAAATTAAACCTTTAGAGTCAATAGAAACCTTCAAAACATTGACTCATGGCTTAATCCCATCAGACCAAATTCTCACCCTTCCAAATCCCATAGAAAATGAGATGAAAAGGTAGAGGAGAAGGGTAGGAAACTTACCCAAGAGTTTGGAGACTCAAATGATCTTCAAAATCCTTCTAAATTGATGCCCTAATAGTGCCCAAAGTTGCCCCCTTCATGCTCTAGGTTTTCCACCCCAAAATTTGATTTTTTTTCTGCTAATTCCTGAAAATTTAAGTTGCCTGCTATGCCGTGCGTCACATATCACACCACGCAAGCCGTGGCTCACAACACAGCAAGCAACAACTTGATTTTGCTCCCCCCAATGCCTCCCGACTTGATCTGACTTTCATCCTATTTCAATTTAAAGCCAAATATGACCTAAAAATTTAATTAGCCACCCAACAACATAATTAAATAAATTGATTATATTTTTAACTAATTTATCCCTTAATTAGTCCATTTTTTCAAATTTAAAGTTTTAGGATGTTACAACCTTCAGGGCTTTCTAGACTTATACAGAGTAGGGCCATGACCCCCTATCCTAGTCTAGGATATACTCACAAATGCAAGTGCACATGCTTCCTTGCGTGCATCATAGGCATCACTCACATACTTGCATACATAATCCTTTCACAACATTACTATTCTAGTAGTTCATAAAATACAATGCATACAATTTATATAAAATACTTGTAAATAATTTTACAAACTAACAAATAAAAAGGTTACTCTAGTTACCTTTTACTCTTATTACCCAGGGTTACCGTTCTTGCTTAACTTCTCAACTTGTGTCAACTTCTACAAGCAATTCTTGGATGCTCAATCTACACAACAAACATCTCTTACTCAATTTCCAACATTCACACATGGCATTAATTTAGTTAAGCCAAATCCCTTAATACATGAAACAGTTCAACTAACACCTTTTAAGTTCACATGATTCATTCTCTATAGTCATTTGCTTTTAGGCCACTCAAATGACCTAAGACATTCCTCTTTCTCACCTGTTTATCAATTTTCCCATTCTCAACCTAATAACATAGGTTTATTTAAGTCTATATCTTTAAAGTTCAACCATTAAATTTTAGACCAGTTGCAAAACCTCAGTTTCCCACCCAAGACCCCTTTTCAAACCTATTCATTAGGTTTTAACTCCTTAAAACTTTCTAGTTCAATTTCTCTACTAACCAAACTTAAAGAAATTAGGGTAGAAACATAGTATAAGATGGTATGAAGCTTACCAAGAAAGTCACGAGTTAGAGTAAACTCCCAAACTTTAGAAAATTGAAGCCCTTGCAGAGCCAAGCTCTTCTCTCCCTCTCACACATGTGTTTCTTCTTTCTTTCCTATGATCCATGAGCTGATCCACAATTTGACTTATCTAAATTATGTGCCATGCACTATGGAACATGCAACACATGTTGCGACGCGTGGCACAGTGAGACAAATCTCACTAATGCTTGTGCATTAAGTCCAAAATTGTAGTTTCTACCATCCGATCCTATAACCACACTAACCAATCAACACCACACATTAATCCCCTATCTAAAACCATAATCAATCAACTAATTACTAATTTATCCTTGATTAGCAGCTAGTTTTCTTGAATTGAAATTCAAGATGTTACAGTTGGTTCCTTGATAAAATTTTCTAAAAAAATCAATTATAAATATTGATTCAGATAGTTATAAATTTAGGTATTCTAACGGTAAATAAGACATTTAAATTTTGAATATAACTATTAGTTTGCAATTGAGATTCTTGTTTGTAACTATTTGAATCAATATTTGTATTTTTTTTTTGACAATTTTGTTAGGAACTTAACTATCATAAATTTTTAGTTTTCTGACTTTATTATCATTCTCCCATAAAATATTGGAAGAATGACATTAAAATTTGAAAACAATAAATTTATAACAAGTAGGTCCTTGACAAAAATTTTTAAAAAATCAATTATAAATATTGATTTAGACAATTATAAATTTAAGAGTTTTGATTGTAAATAAGACATTTGAATTTTAAATGCAACTCTCAATTTGCAATTGAGATTCTTGTTTGTAATTGTATGAATTAATATTTGCAACTTATTTTTTAAAATTTTTTATCAATGATTTAACTATCATAAATTCTCAGTTTTAGGACTTTATTGTTATTCTTCCTTTAAAAATTCCATGGACTATTTTAATTTTATTTATTTATTTTTGTGTAAATTAGGGAAAGGGATCTAATACTACTAATTTTTTTTTATAAAGACCATAAAATTAAAATTAAGATTAAAGACCAAGGTAAATGTAATTGACTATTATAACCTTAATATAAAACTTGACGACCTTAAAAGTACTCTTTTGTAAGGTTGTTCAACTTTCAATTTCGCACAAAAAATAGTATTAAATTTAATTAAAACAATATAATTTAAAAAATGTTTATTTTTAAATAACTGAATCAATATAATTTTTTTAAAATCTTTACTTTTAAAATTAAATCAATAAAATTAAAAAAAAAATCTTTACTTTTAAAGAATTATTCAGTTTTGTCAAGAACACCCATCTCAATCTCTATACTGTGCATTTTTAAGAGATATAATATTATTAACCTGTAATTCCTGGAATTAATTTAGCTATGTTTTAGTTTGTTATTGTCAATCTCCTTGTCATACAAAAAAATATTTTTTTTTCTCAAATAATACGTTTATGTTAGTAACTATCAAATACAAGGTGCGAAATGTGGTTAGAAAAAATGTAGAAGATATAATTAGAAACAACATAGTATTTTTAAATTTATATTTTGAATTTACTCTTTAGGTGTAATTATTTTTAAGATTCTTTTTAATAAATATTTCTTTTTTCAGGTTATTTGTTATAACTTTTCCTTTATTATTATCTCTTTATCATAAATCTATTTTGGTCGGAGCAAAATTGACCGTTCCGGTACCCCACTACTCGCCATTGACTCAGTGAGTGACCAACTGACAATCAAGACGACGGTGAGCGGATTGAATTCACAACCTCACCGTTCATCAGCCTTCAATCCATTGTCTTTTGTGATTGAACTTCGTTTTTCTTTCCGATCTCAGAGGCCTTGTATTTGACGAATGGATCTGTGTTTTGACGAGAAGGACTTCTTAGGATGCTGTGGGAGTGCCAGATTCGCCAAAGAGATGGCTATAGCTTCTCCTTTCTCTTCTCTTCAAGACGCCATATCTGCTGCTCAGGAAATTTGGTTCAATAAGGTTGATGTCAATGGCTGGCTTGAGGCTTTCTCGGCTCATCCTCAGATTGGAGAAACCCGTGCTTCCGCTCCAACAACTGAAACCAGCTCTCAGTTCAGTAATTCCTTAAATTGCGTTCATTTTCCCCACAAATTGTAGGATTCGAATTAGTGCGAATATTTGTTTTTCTTTTATTTTTCATTTGGATTTTGGGATATTACTTCTTAGTCGTCTGGTAACTGGTTCCCAAAAGGATCAAACTAATCATGGATTCTGTAGTTGGTCTAATGTCAGGATTGGATTTATAGTTAATTATCTGTTTCATGCGTTTATGTTGATAATATACTATAAGTTTATAATTAAAATTGCTTCCGTTTCGTAGCAAATGGTTGATGCCTTTATAGTTTATAAAGCCTGACGATCCATTTGTGCTCTTAGCATGTTGTTAAAGGTGGCTGGATGGTTTGTTTTCTTGAAATATTTCTTTAATAAGATTGCTCGTGCATTTCAACTGACAGGCCACTAGAAAAATGAGACTGCTATTGAGAGTAAATAGCAAGAAGGAAAAAGAAGAAAATGATAGTACTTGATGCAAATGTTTTTCTCTTATTGATTGTATTTCTTCGATTGTCCCTTTTAATTGCATCTCATGCAACTGTGTCATGCGTCTTCATTATTTTGTTAGCCACCTTTGAAAATAATTGACTGAAAAGACTCAAGGTCAATGATAAGATAGTAATTTGTCTGAGAAACTATTTTTCAGGTGGAGTAAGGGAGAACAATCAACTGCTTTAGCTACTGCTACGGGTACTAGCTTACAGGTTTGCTTATTGCTTTCATTGAAAAGTTAGAAGTTCTATTTAATGACTGTTTCATATTTCTTCAAATTTTATGCATACTGATATCTGCTATCATATCATTTCAGAGATCAGTATCCATAAAAATTTTGATCAGATTTCTGTTTGTCATTTTGCTAGAAAGTCGGCTAATCCCTGTGAGATGATTTGCTAGAAATATTTGATCTGGTTTCTGTTTTTCATTTGTGCTTGCAACCCCATTTAGCTGATTTGTCGGATAACATATCTATTGTCTTTATTATTGGAAAGATTATTTCATGAATTAACTGATATTTATGCAATTTATAAATTATAAATGAAAGTTAGTCACCTAAATGTGGTCCATTTGACTTGTGTAGGAATTATATGAATGGAATGCTCGCTATAGACAAAAATTTGGGTTTATATTTATCATTTGTGCATCTGGGAGAAGCACTGATGATATTCTTGCTGAATTGAAGGTAAAATGGAATTCATGATTCGAAGTTGATTGTAAATTTACTTGATTCTTGTATTCTTTCTTCTTTTATTGTATAGTTAATTAATTGTCAATGCAGATGAATAGCTGTTTTGCTTTTGATGACCTTGAGTTTTGACCTGAAGATGATCTATAGAGTACGTTGTGGGATTTCTATACTTAGTGTTTACTATAATACAATGTTTGTTGCATTGGGCTATGAAATACTCATAAAGACTAACTTTGTGAACTTTTTAGTGGGACCTTGGAAGGCTAAATTTTATTTGTTAGGTACTGCTTAGCTTTTGAGACAGGATTCTCAGGATTTGAATTTGAAAGTGTCAATCAGATATGAATCGAGAACACAAAATTGTTATTGGAAAGTAGATGGTGTTTGGTGTGGCTTGAGAAAATTTATACTATGATATTGATAATTTCATAATTGATATTTATGCTCTCTCATAGAAACTTTTTAGTTTGGAACAAATCATGCAATATTCCAATTTCTTTGTTTCAGAAATAAAATTTGATAATGATTCCATGGTTAAAATCTTCTTAGGGGATTTTTATACTATTAAGAGAATATATTCTACAGTTTTTATGAACTTTCTAACTATGGACTGATATGTAAATCACTAAGAACTCTAAAATCACAAATCCTAACGAAAGATGTGACATATGAACCTAACGAAACTGTATTATGCCTACTATATAGTTATAAAACGTAAATATCTTAGAACAACTATGGAATATAACTGCATGCCTCAAATATACTTATAATTTGGGTTTGTATTCTTTCCTCAAATATACAAATATGAATGAATGTGCTTTATTATATAAAAGATAATGCTTCTTACCCTTTCCTTTACTAAGTTTAATAACCATGGAGCCTTACTGTATTAAGGAATGAGAAAGATGTGTTGGAGCACGAGGATATTCTTCCCAATGCTTACATTGACAGGGGTGTGAGCTTTATTATTAAATTATGGGTTTCTTGATTACTGTAGTCGTTTTGGGACAGATTGCAGTTAAAAAAGACGTAGTCATGGCAGAGAAAGAATCAAAGAAATGGGGTTGGAGACTTTTGTGTGAGAAACAATGATCAATCTATACAATCTGTTTGCAAGGTGTATCACTAGTCTAAAAGCTTAAATCATTGAGCATATATCAGAAATTTATAGGATGTGGGATGTGAACATGGACAAGAAGAAGAGTGCAAGTCTGATTTACTGTGGTGTAGCAAAGCTTGTTAGAAAGGAAAATTAAGTTTTGGCATAGTTTAATGATTTAATACACGTAAAGATAAAATTCGAAATGAGCACATACGTGAAAAAGTGAGGGTGGCACCTATTGAGGAAAAAATGGGAGAAAATCGGTTGAGATGGTTTGGGCATGTACAAAGAAGACCAAGGGAGGCACCAGTGAGAAGAGTGGAACATATAACTTTGAGTCCGATTAAGAGAGGTAGAGGAAGGCCTAAGAGAACATTCTTGGAAGTTGTTGAACGTGATCTCTTAATTAATAATATTTCTAAAAGCTTAATAAATGATAGAGCACAATGGCGTCTTGCAATCCATGTAGCCGACCCCACCTAGTGGGATAAAGGCTTGTTGTTGTTGTTGTTGTTGTTATAGTTTAATGATTTAGAGACTATGCTTAATCTTCAGGGCACTTGTCTGCATTATGAATAGTTTATGTAGTTATTGGCATGAGTGTGTCTTGCAATAAACAAATAAATAGTAATAAAGAGGATTAGTGTGCTCAGTTGATATCAGTTGTGTTAATTTGGAACCTTTCGCCCGTTCTGTAAACGTCAATCTTCAGAAATAGTTCATATGAAGTTCTGTTATTTTTCATCTGTGTTTCTGGAAATATATATTCCTCTCTGAGGCTTGTGTCTTACTAGCTTTCTATGATTTGATTTTTTGTGCATTGATTTGCTGAAAATCAGGCAAAAAGGAGAAAAAAGGATTTGATGAAAATGAAATTCTAATTTCCTGCAATTCATCAAGTGAAAATGCTTGTTGACTTTGAGCTTCAAAGCTTGATGCTAATCACATCTTGTTTTGCACTGCACAGCGACGTTATCCAAACAGGCCATTAATTGAATTTGAGATTGCAGCTCAGGAGCAAATGAAAATCACAGAATTGCGCCTTGCAAAGCTTTTTTCATCCGCAGCAAATGTTTCTTCTGCAACTGACAAGTATCCCACTGGTGCTCAAAAGGCAGAAGGTGAATTTTTCTTCTTTCTTGATTGGTTAAAATGTCAAAGCCCAACACACTTCACAGTCAAATTTAATTAACTCAATGCTTCTATCAGCTGTGTTTTGAAAAATTGGTAATACTTAAATTTCGCATGACTTATTTAAAACCAAAAAGTACTATTATCTCTCATTTAAATTCTTCCATCATGATTTTTGAAATAGAAATTCCAAATCAAATATTAGAGTGTTTCTTTAAGTTAAAAACTAGAGAATTTGTTTTCATGCATTAATCCTAATGCTACAATAGCTAAACTTGTGTCCAAATCATACATAATCAAGCTATAGTGTATTGCTTACTTTATGAGGAAAAGAGTAAAATAGGTCAATTGACTAGAAGGTATACTATCAGCTTGAGTGGGTCTTTACCAAAATGGCTCAATACAGGACGTTGTTTAACATTTTTGCATGTCTATTTTATGTTCGAATTTCAGCTTGAAAAACCATATCCGTACTTGCTTTTAAAAAAAATTCTTACTCCACTAAGAGCATAATGAGTGTCATATGTTATGCAACATCAACTTCCGTGGGTCCAGCGCTGCCTTCTTATGTCTCTTTTGCTTGTATGAGTAGTCATCCTTTTTTCTCTAGCACCATTCATTTTTCCCGTTTCTATTTTCTGTTTTTGGTCTTTATGATTTAGCTTCTTTTTGTTCTATTTTGTTTTTGTTACTCTTGTCCAAATAAATAAACCTAAATATTTCAGCACTGTGCTTTTCCTTGGAAAATTACAATATGAACATGTGCCCTGCCGAACTATATATGTAGTATACTTGATCTGCTTAACCACTTGCATGCATATATAATTTTTCCATCTTTACCTAGCCTGTTTTGATTTTTTTTTTCTCTTTTAATTTTCGTTTCCTCTTAACAATGCTAGAAGATCGTTTAAGCATTATAGGTGGGCATGTGAATGCAGCTTCAGAAGCTTCAACTGGAAAACCAATTCAAAGTCATAGTAGAACTCGTCCACCTATTACCACTCATGTTTTGGATGTTTCTCGAGGTTCTCCGGCTGCTGGCATTGACGTGCTTTTAGAAAAGTGGAAAAACACAAAAGCTCGACCAACCTTTGGAGAGACTGATAGTGGCAGTTGGGTGTTTCAAGGGTCTTCAACTACAGATTCCGATGGTCGAAGTGGTCAATTGATGAGAATAGTTGACGACATTGATCCAGGGATATACAAGATAAGCTTCAACACTGGAGAGTACAACCCAGGTGGTTTCTTTCCATATGTATCGATCGTTTTCGAAATCCGGGAATCGCAAACAAGGCAACATTTTCATGTTCCTCTGCTGCTTTCACCATTCTCATTCTCTACTTACCGTGGAAGCTAGGATAGGACTGAGAAGGATCAACCAGGACATGTACCATAAGTCAATAATAAGTTTGCCAGAGTGGTGTTATTGTTAACTCCTAATGGCTTGTAGAAAGATTTTAAGTTTCGTGTAAATGCTTAAATATATGGAAGTGAATGTTATATCTGTCTGCTTTAGTTAAGATGAAAATCAAGCTTTCAAATATTGACAATGATAAGATTGTGCCTTGTTAGGCATACCAATCTCACTTTCTAATTTCCTATTTTTGTAGTTCATTTTTTAAATTGTAGGAGAATTATATTCTATGTTTTAATTTTGGGAAAAAAATGTTATATACGTGTGCATATGTCTTCTATTTTAAGAAAATAAAATGTAATACATATGTGTACAATGAACACTTGGTAGGAGAAAAAACCATAAGAGTTGAGAAAGATGGGGAGAGAATTAGAGCCAATAGACATATTTAGCTTGTTTCATTCTAAGCATTTGTGTATGAATCTCTGTGTGTGTGTGTGTGTAAGAAGCAGTTTACATTGTTATTTTCTTGCATCTGAGTTTTTATTGCAAAGTTATATAAAACAAATAATAAAAATGCAGGCTGTGAAGGAAAAAATACAAGATATGAATGTCATGCGCAAGGTGAAAGCAGAGGCAAAGGCTGAAGAGCAGGTATGACATGCATGGCAGAGGATTAGGAGAGTCTTAATCCATGACATGCATCTCATTCAAGTTTCAATGCTTTCTTTTCTGGTGTTAAATAAGATGTTATTGTGTTGAAAAGGAATTGACATAAAATAGTGATTATGAATTAAAAAAAAAAAAGCAGAGAGACTTTTGCAAATATAGTTTATATTATAGGATCAAATTAAGTAAATAGCCCAATATTTATTGTATTTTGCATAGTGGTCGGTTTATTATGCTTGTCAATAATACACCGTTGTATATTAATAATAAATCCCTTATATATTAATATGAATTGACAATGCTCTCAAATTTTCAAAACTTCGATTTATATTATTTGGGCACAAGATTTTATGGTAGAAGACATAGGTTTTTGTTTTTTTGGCCATATAGAAGAAATAGGTTACTACACACTTCTCGTTGTTTTTCTTCTCTTTCTCTTTTTCTCAACAAAATATTTCCTTCATTTCAAAATATTTATCTTTTAACATTATATAAAGTAATTTTCAACTTAAATTGACACAAGTGTTAAGGGCATAATTCCTAGCACTTATAAGTTTATGAAACAAGTCTACTGAGGAGGGGTCATTAAGATAGTTCTCATTAAACAAATTTTATCTACACTAATTAACAAATGTAAATTTTTTAAGATAAATGGACAAATTACCTTTTGAATTTAATAGCATCATAGACTCTGAACTTGTTTATTAAATAAATTGTTACTTCAACTTTTAAAAATAGTACAATATAATTTTATGAGTAATTTGCTCATTTATTCTTTTTTTAACATACTTTTAATTTCAATTAATAAAATAAGCGTTTTAGAATCTTCAATGACACATGTTTAATGGTGTTAAAAATTCGATTTAAGTGGAAGAAGAAGAAGAACAAGAATTTAAAAGTATTTGATTGATTAAAATACCATTGTATTAAAATATAAAGATACAGGTAGTGAAGGACATTGCAAAAGCAAGAATGGAAGTAGCTCATGAAGTTAGGTTGGCCAAAGAGGCTGAAGCTGCAATGGAGTTGCATGCTGCCAAAGCTCAACAGAAGGCTCAACAAGAATTGGCTAAACACCCACCAAACCAGTCTCACGCAGCTCCTCCCACCATCAATTCCATCGACGATCCCTCTTACACTTAGATAGGTTCTGTGTATTATATGAAGTATCACCAGGAAAATGTATTACTCTTACCGTTCAATATTATAAAACATTCTTATTTAGTTTATGCTTTCCAATGAGTTAGTCATTGACACTTAACTTTAAAGTTTTACATTTTTTTCATATTTACTTTCATTTAATATCTTATCTCAATTAAAAAATTTCATTAATTACAAACCTAATTAAGTTTATTTTTGAAAAACTGAATTCTCTTTGACGCTATTTACAAGTCACTTTTAATATATCTTATAAAAATTAAGTAAAATTTTAATTTCACTAACTTTATCTTAAAATCTAATAAGTTTTACCTTTACCTAAAAAAGATAAAAAGAATTAACTTTTAATAATTTTTCTTAGTATTTAATAAGGAGAGAGAGGTAAAAATGAACATATAAAATAGTGAAGTGCCTTTTATAAATAGGATTGAAATTAATCTTCTTTACTTGCCATATAAATAGAAATAAAGGAGTATTAATTATGCCTTAAAAAATCTAAATTACTTTATTTTTTTTGAATATGATGTTTTTTTAAAAAATGAATTTAATTTAATTTAATTATAAGTGCAAGTTCCGCTTGTTTTGTACTTATCCAGTTTCTTTTATAAGTAATTTTTACTAACCTCATCAATAATAATAAATAAAAGTATAAAGAATAAAAGTATGTAAAATTTTAAATATACCCTTATAAAACAAATTCAAATGATAATATCATATTATTTTTTTTTCTTTTATAAAGAATAATATTAAAAATACTTTTTAAATATTATTTTAAAAATTTTACTATAATTTATAAATAAAATTAAATAAATTTTTTAAAATGTACTTTATAAATAAGATGAGGAATATGCATTAAAGGCGTCCCCAATGTTACAGTAACTTCATAATTAGTGCATTCAAAAAATTAAGCGCGTGTTTAGACTTTTTAAAAGTAAAAAATGGAAAAACTTTTGTAGTAAAAATATAATTAGAATTAAAAATTTTAAAATATGATTCATTTGTTTTATGAAAAATAAGTAAACACACTTTCAAGAAAATAATTGAGAAACGATAAAATGGACAACTATATAATTAAATATAATTATTTAAGTGTATTAAATTATTAAATGTTCACTTAGAAATGAAAAAATGTTTTTAAATGATTAAATGGACAACTATATAGTGATGATCCTTTCAACAATCGGATATTGCCTTGCGTGTCTCTACTGGACTGTACAGAGTTTGAGTTGGTACAGCTTTCTCAAGTTAACGAACTATGAGTTCCCACACCAAAGGCGACGAGGATCAGGTCTGTTTATCCTCAAATGACACACTTGTAGATTTCGAATTTACTTGCTCTGTTTGGAAACCGCACAAACTCGGAGAAAGCTCGAACTCCTGTTCCTTTTTTCAATTTATTTGTTTTAATTTTCTCTTAATTTGTGACATTTTATCAATGGAATGGATTGTTGATACTCATGCTTATTGCTTTCGAGGGTTGTATGCGTCTTGTTCTGATTATTCGAGATGCCCTGTTTTTGGGTATTTTTCTTTTCCTGTTCTTTTGTCATCTTCATTTTATCTACACATTTCCTTGCTTAATTAGCTGATTACATTCATGGAATAGGAAATGGGTTACTTGTATTTGTGTCCTGAACCATTTTGACGTCTTTATAGACATCAGTGGATTGAAACCATTTTTTACTTCATTATTATGACTTAAGAGGATTCATTTTAATCACACATCTGCTTTGTGTATCTTTTCACTTTTCATGAGGCTTTGTTAGTCTTTTTGAATTTTGATGCAATATTGCTCCGTTGATTCTCTAGGGGTATCTCAACTATATTGGCATCTTTTCTTCTTTCTTTCTGATTTTTTGTTGATTCTCTTTCTGTGTGAATGTGAAACAGGTTCTGGTGGAACATAAGTTGTCTTCGAGAATTCTGATACTAAATAGGCCTAGGCAATTGAATGCCTTATCTTTTCAAATGGTACAACACTCATTTACAATATTTCTCAATGCGTTGTGTTTTTTCTTTTTTTACTTTTTTTTTTCCCCACACAGTCTTATTTGTTGAATGGGTTAGGTTTTGTATTAATATGACTGGAATATCAGTTTATGACAAACATGTGTTGGGGCTAACATTGAGCCTTCAGTTTTAAATTATTTTGTACTTTTTTAAGCCTTTTCTTATTGTTTGCTATCATCTGCTTCCTTTTACCTTAGGTTGACTCAGAAATCCAGTATACTTCTGAGGACCCAGAATATCAATTCAAATTAATATTTACCAATGTCCTTAGAAGTATAGTTTTTTCTCATATGTTTGTCTTTTGAAGTTTTTCTTCTATTGGTTAAATTCCAGTTCTATGTTTACTTCCCCCCTAACTTTCTCTGTTTGTTATTCGGTCTTCTCCTAATGTAGGTATCTCAGCTTCTGGAGCTTTTTTATGACTATGAGTCAAAATCTGATATAAAATTGATTGTCATGAAGGTACTGTGCATTGAATGTGCAACTGTAGTATTATTTCTTGACAGAGAAATAAAAGAAAGTCCTACCAATGCTGAAATGGAATTATCTCTTATGTAACTTTGTTTACTGAAGCTAAGTATTCTGCTGTTATATACATTTAGGAACCAGGATGCAATTTTTTTTTCCCTATATGGACTCCTAACTGGAAAATAAGTATCTCAACAACTTCCTGCTAACTCCTCTGACCTGTTATACAGGCTTAGAGCAGTGGGAGGGAGATTCCATTTGGTTACAATCTCAAATGAATGGATACTTGTTACAAACAGGCCTACGAATACTAACAAACAAATAACTATTCATTAATTAACAACTGATCATCCTCCCTTTTATCATTTTTGTTGGAGAATGACTTGGGCCTCTAAACACAAAAGGGTTTTTCATATTAGTCTTATTTATTTTATCCATTATATCCCTGATGTTTGGGGTCCTAATAAATCAGTTTTATCTCTCTTTATTTCCTAGATTATTTAGGATTTGGTGTAACTGATTTAATGCTACTCTCTTCTCTATATTGTACACCCTACTCCTTTAGAAAATGAATAATACGATTTCTGAGTTCTACAATTTCTAATTTGTAACATATCTTGACAAACATTCATATGGGAACTTAGAGGTTTCTGCAGATTCTTAGCAAACCGAAATGTATGACTGGTCTCTTTCTCACCAGAAAATCTGAATGAAAAACTTTAGCAAAGGTGTGCATCAAGACATTGACCGTACAGATCTATTACATTCAACATGCATTATTGACCTTTTCAGAATAAGAGTGAGGATGGAAGGGTGATGGAATGGGTTAGAATGGATTGACCGTTCCTGTTCATGTGTTTGGTGATTGCAGGAATAGAATTAAGGGCTTAGTAGGAAGGATGTTTTAGGTTGTTTTTTTTTTTTTGTTTTTGTTTTTGTTTTTTTTTTTAGGGGGGCTGGGGGAGCTGCGTGAAGTATCTTATTCTTCATCACTGTTTGTATGTTCAAAGGGTAATGAGGTGGGGGTGGATTTGGATGGTTCAGAATCCATTTCACCCTATCTCATGCTCTATTTCCCCATCCCCTTCGAACTTGGGGTTTGGGCAGGATTGGGCTTCCTTATGATACTCTGCATCCTTCCTTCATTTATAATACTCTGAAATCTGAATAAAAAGGGCCACTACTCCTAGAGTAAAAGAAAACTGATGACTCGTCACTCCTACATAATAATAGACTCTTATCCTATTATCTCTCAATTTGCAGGACCTATTAACAAACTCTTAATCTATTATTTTTTGATTTGCAGCACTTGTTCTTTACCCTCAAACGGTTGACTAGTTTCTCATCATCTTTGAATATTTCTATACCTGATAAAAAAAATTCATGTAGTTTTGTACATCATTTATATATTTGGCTGAGTTCTACTATTTAAACAACGTATGTAATTTTGTAAATTGTGGCTGATTTTTACTTCAACATGAAGGGGGATTAGCTATATCATCAGCATCATCTTCTCATCATGCATCTTCTGTTTAAATATCAGGGAAATGGAAGGGCATTTTGTGCTGGTGGTGATGTTGCGGCTGTTGCTCATTATGCCAAGGGAGGTATGTTTTGACCTTGTTTCTTAATAGGCTGCATGACAAATCCTCAATATTCAATGTGTGACTAGGATCTCATTTTTTATGGAAGCTTGGATATCTGAAACCCTGTGCTACTTTAAGCTCACCAATGTAAACTTGCAGAACCTGCTGAATCACTTATTAGTTTTCGATGGTAGGATTGACTAGTAATGCAAAATTGATCTCATTACTTTCTTTGAAATAGATAACTGGAAGTTCGGAGCAAAGTTTTTTGAGATTGAGTATCAAATGAATTATTTGATGGCAACATACAGTAAACCTCAGGTGAAATTTTTCTTAATGAAAGGCACTCTTTCTGCTTTGTTTTATCAATCATCACTCTGATGTATGAAATTTTTCATATTTTGGTCTGCAAACTTTTGAAGATTTCAATTCTTAATGGAATTGTCATGGGCGGTGGTGCTGGTGCTTCTATTCATGGTAGATTCCGTGTTGCTACAGAGAATACAGTATGTTTCCAATCCAAAATATGATTACTAAATTCTATGATTTGTCTGAAAGAATTGTCTGATTTGGTTGACGGTATATTGAATTTTCAATGTTGTTAGAACCAAACTGGTCATTGAATTAGTTGGGCCACTGATTCATTGAACCATGGTTGGACTGATGTGAGTTAAAATAATATTTTTTAAATAATACGTGCGAAAAAAAATAACTTAGATAATATTCATCCATATATTGTCATATATGCCCAAATATGTCTTGTAATATTTGTTCATATCAGTCTCATACATGCGCAACTTAAAATATTATTTATTGTCCTAGTATGCTAGATTAATTGTCCAACCAAGCTAGTACAGGTTGCCACGATTAACCAAAGCACTAGTAAATCATCAAATACATATAACACTCAAGGAGAACCAACCAGAAGACAAATCAAAACACAATATAACATAGTTTTGGGTTTTTGATTTTCTTTTTAAGAACAAAAACTGGTTTTGACCTGTTTTTCACCGGTTCTGGCCAGTTTTGACTTGTTCTGCACCATTTAACTTTTTGGCCAGCTTTCAAGGGTTCCAGAATGGACATATGGCTGGTTCTTGGTCTGATTGGTCAAACTAATGATCCAATCTGGTTCTGACAACGTTGAATTTTGTCTTTTATACATAATGTCTTTTATGATAATTGTAACCATATGACTATAACTGCTTTTCTATCCAAATGTTTTATTTTTGAGGAAAGTTATTGATGAGGGACAGTATAGGTTATCTGATGTATGACTGTAACTGTTTTTCTATCCAAATGTTTTATTAGCTTGAATTTCTGTTTACATGTTTTAACTCATTATATTGATGGACCATTTTCAGGTCTTTGCAATGCCAGAAACAGCTTTAGGACTATTTCCTGATGTAGGTGCCTCATACTTCTTGTCTAGACTGGCTGGATTTTTTGGTATATCCTTAATTCCAATCCCTTTAATTGTTGACTGTTGTACTTTTTAATCCCTTTATATCAAAAGATCCCTTAAATTGAATAGACTCACCATCTACCACCAGTGAGTTCCTCTACATAAATGTGTATGATTCATTGCTAGGAGAGAGCAGATAGGTTAACGTTTTCTTTGATTTTGCAATGTTTGTCTTTGTTGATACATGTGCATTTGAATTATTCATTATACTTCCAACTAATCAGTATTTCCAAATGGCTAAAGAAAATATTATAGTGACATTCCATTTTTGGCTTTTCTTTCCTTCTTTCTATTGGAAAACAAATTGCAGGAGAATATGTTGGTCTTACAGGTGCTAGGCTGGATGGTGCAGAATTGCTTGCATGTGGCCTTGCAACACATTTTGTGCACTCATCGGTATGCCTTGTAGTTAATAACACGTAGATTTGAATTTTTTAGGTAATTTTGGATTATAATACCAAGAGTTCACTCATAAGGAATAGACGTGCATCATCTTTTAAAATTTAGTGTGGCCTTGATCTTAAGAATGAAGTTTAATTATCAAAAGCCTGTGCATCATATTATAATATTAAAAAGTTAGAGCGATTCTTTTTGCTTTTTTCTTCAATGTTGGTGAGATGTGCTTTATCACCTGGTGTTTGGCAAGTTACTGCCTTGTACCTTGAAGCAAAATCTAGCACCTGAATGAAGCGTCATCCTGCTATATTTATAGAGGACCAGTTTCAACAATAGAAAGGAATTAGAGAGAGAACGAGACTTTGGGTGTCTAAAGAAACTTTTTATCCTTAAAAACTAGCCTGTCAGGAGCTGACCCATTCATGCTTTTATTTACTCCTCTAAATTATCCTCTCATCTGAAAACCGTTTTGGCTTTGAGTGTGGATGAAGCACTATACCTGAGATGAAATTAAATAAGTTGGGGGATGGAAACAACAATGATTGAACTCCTTACTGATTGGCAATAAATATTTTGATAGCACGTCTTCATCATAGAAGTTTAAATTTCTTGTTTCATGGAGTTTGATTTGTTTTGGATGTTTTTGATTATCTTGTTTTCAAATTGATGATTTTCTTTATGGTTTTATATTTTGATAATTTATATGTGTTTGAAGCTCAACTAAACCCCATGTTTCCAATGGTTAACAACCTTCTATTGTAGAGTAAAAATTGTCTGGCATATATTCAACTAGACAAATTGGTCCTCTTTGTCCCCTTTCAGTTATTGTTTGTTCTGGTGCAATTACACTTAAACCCCTACTGTTTGTCACAGTTACACTCTCTTGGTTGTGGGAAAAGTGTCAAAAGAGACCCTATTAAGAACACTATCGAATATTCTTGAGCTGAAAATTTAAGTTTTTAAAAGGCTTAAATAAATAGTGAAGCATATTTCTTAACTCTTTAAAGTGGAAAATCTATGATCTATGCAGCAATGTTACTTAAGGAGGGTCACTGTGCCTAATAAGTGTATGGCATGGGCTAGATACATATACACAGAATATTCCATCTAATTTTTGCTTGTTTGCTTACATTATGAAATTTTGGATACATCTTGAATATGGATCCAGCATCCCATCAAGTTGAAGGGGACTGGATTCATCTTAAATATGCCCAACATAGTCACAGGATATTTTTCTAGATTTTGCTGTGATGACTTTGGGGGTAAGAAATCTATCTCACTTTTCTGGCATCTAGACCTTGCTACTCAGCCTGTCTATTAAGTACTTCAGCTTTAAAATGTTACCCAATGCCCTTGGTTTTTAACATAAAAAAGAGGCCACATAATCTAGCTCTTCAACCTAACAAGGGTTTTAGCCATTCTTTGAGCCAACTTAAGGAAATGGAGGAGCAATTGCGTAAAAAATGGGTACAAGATCTTTTTAATGTTTAAAAAGCTTGAGGGGGAAGTATTCTTTTTGCTGTTTTCTCCCAAGAATATTGGATGTTTTGTTACATTTTAAAAATGACGTACTGAAGTTGGAATTAAACCTTAGTTCAAGGGAGTGGTCTGCTTTGTTTTAAAGCTGATGTATTAAAATTGTAATTAATTTTTGTTGTTTTCGTGGAAGTGTTTTGTTAGTTTTTGAAGGTTCTGGTTGAAGGGTGTAAGTTGTAAAATGTAATTCTCCCTTCTAATTTAGGCATCAACCTTGGTGACTATACAAGCAGTAATAGTATGGTAAGGCTGTCTTGTTTTTAGATAGCTTTACACTGAACTTTTTTCTTGCACACACACACTCTCTCTCTCTCTACAGATCAGCACTGATGTATAAACTTAAGTGGGTGTTAATGCTTATTTCCTCTTGCTCTTAAATTAGCTTTCCTATTGTAACACTATAAATGAAGATTCAAAATGATTACTGAATTAACTCGGTCAAGTTCTGTGAGCGTCTATTTAGAATCGTAGATAGGTGAAATGTAAGAACAGTACAACTAGTGTAAGCCTGATCCACTAATCATTGACACAGTTATTTTAAGTTAGCTGTTAATCTTATTTCATATTCTTGTTCTTTTTCCTTTCACATACTAACAGTTATGTGTACCAAACATAACTCAGCTTTTCCCTTCTTCATTTGCATTCTCTTAAAATATCAACATTCAAATCTAATGCTGCCATGGGTTCGCTCTTTGTTTTTTTTTTGTTTTTTTGTTTTTTTGTTTTTTGTTTTGTTTTTTCAGTCTCTTGCTGAGAAGTCAGCTTACTATTACAACACTATCATTAAAGCCTGAACTTTATCTGTAATAGATGCTGAGTCCCTTTTCGTTTGGAAATTACTTCTGTATTACAAATATAAGTTTGAAATTTGGTATCCATTTATTAATGTGTGATTCTATCTCTTGGATGAATTGAGTTGTAAATACGGTTACTAAGTGGCATACTTTTGCTCAAAGATCATGCAGTATAACTGTGTCAATGTGTCACAGATAGGCATAGCTGTGTGAGCATAGTTCATGGTTTTACATAACCTTGTGGAAAATTGACTTGATTTCTGCACTGTTTTGTGGGATCTTCATTCTGTTCTAGTAGATATTTGTGGTGCTGATTTGTTTCCGTTTATAATCATTGTGCAGAAGTTGACTTCCTTGGAAGAAGCTTTATGCAAAGTAGAATCCAGTGATCCTGCTGCAGTGTCTGCTATCATTGATAAATATTCTGAGCAACCCATACTAAAGGAGGACAGTGCTTATCGCAGGTTGGCATGCGATGCACATCCACAAGCACACACTCATATGCACATGCATGCGTGTGTATGCATACACTTGCATACTAACATGTGTTTGCAAGGCATGAAAATGTAAATTGACAAAGCACATTTGTATAAACACATGCATGCATGCACAAATATATGGAGGATTTGTGCTTGAGCTTTTGTCAAAATTTCTCAAAGTGCTCCCAGAGTGTAAACTCACCTTCAAAATAGTCCTTCCGTTGAATAACTCTTACCAAATTGGCTAGTGAAAATCCCATCCTTATCTGAGAAAAGGCTTCCCCTGAGTGAACAGGTTAGCTGCTTGCTTTGCTTTAAATTTGTGAGAAGGAGCTATTGAGGCGCTGTATTTGGTTAAATGATTTACCACAATTATTATCATATCCAATTCATGTGACCAAGGCAACGTCCACAAAAAAATCCATACTTATTTCCCCTAAAAATTGTTTTGGCACTGGAATCACTTCTAGTAAACCGGCTGGTCTCATTGCTTGGTATTCTCTGTTTCACATGTTTCATTTGAAGCTACAAAAGTTAGGATGTCTTTTTTCATTCTCATCCAATGCATTACTTTTATATATTTATATTGGTGTGACTTGAGGCTGTTTATTATACAAATTATGCTTATAATGGTAAAGTTTTTATTCATATAATGTTAATCCGCCTCCCCACAAAAAAGAAAAGCTTTGTGGTTTTCTTCTCGATGTGTTTTAATTGAAACAAAACACCACCTTTGCCTTGTGTGTTTCTTTTATCTCATAGTGGTTTGCACTGCAGGTTGGATATCATCAATAAGTGTTTCTGTCGAAGAACAGTTGAAGAAATATTATCTTCTCTTGTAAGATATGTCTTCAGTTGTAATCTTATCCACTGACAATCTTGTTCTGCTAATTTCTTTTCATTATCAAGTATGAATTATTCAGTTGAATATTGTCTTACTGATTTAGGAGGGGGAAGCAATGAGTAAGGCTGATGAGTGGATATCTGCAACTATTCAGTCTTTAAAGAAGGCATCTCCAACAAGTCTTAAAATCTTTCTTAGATTGGTATGTCTTATAGTTCTCTTTATTTCTACTCTATTTATGAATACAATGACAACAACAACAACGTCTTGTCCTACTAATTGGAGCCAGCTATATGGATCATATGATGCTATTGTGCTCTATCAATAATCAACTCTTTAGATCCTTCCTCTTGTCCTTAATATAAAGCAAAGTTTGGATGTTTTTTTTTGGTTCTTAGTACAAGACAAAATTAGAGTAAGTATTTTTTTTTCCCAATTTTAGCCCTTGTTCATTTATTATCATTTGAATTCCTAGACAACAATTTATTATGGTTATTAATTGCGAGAAGGGTAAAATTGGAAAGTTACATATTTTTTAACAATTTTAAAGATATAACTACTATTTCTTAATAAGCATGAAGATGGTTAACTTTGCGTTGTATTAAAGATTGGAGGGAGCATTTATGAATGATCCTTAGTCAACTATCTCCTCTATTTATGAATGATCTTGAATAATTGGTAGAGTTCATTAAGGAGGGCATGGAGAGAATGAATCACGGGAGATCTGACTATTGATAGCACTTATGATTTGTAACTACTGCCTTAATTCATTGGTTGAAAACAATGTAAGTATTCAGGTTTATGCTTTCTGGATGAATGTGTTGGAACCACTCCATCTTTTATGGAAGAAACAATCAAAAGTTGAATTTGGACCCTTGACTCAAAAATTTTCCGTACACGAGTTATTTTTTGTTTTCAGGCCTGAATACGACTTAGTTGACCTAAATACAGAAATTAAGTTATCTGTGGTGACATTCACTTGGAAAAATAAATTGATTTTAGTTGCCTGCTTGAACTCAGTTGGGCAGATTATACCAATGGTAGCATTTGCATGTATGTGTGTAATTAGATTGTGAAGTGCTTTTCCCCTCCTTTTGCAATGACCAAACCACTATTCAAAATCGCCATTTTTAGGATGTCTGTTCCGTTTTTATCACTTTGATTTTCTTGCTTTGATTGCAAATTTTATTGTTATAGTCAAATGGATTGAAAGAAAAATTATGATGACAAAGACATTTAAAAAATGATAAAAGCTTTATTAAATGATTAAAGATGTAAAATACGTATGTATTATTAGGTGAGTTGGGGCTAACCTCAATAAATAAATCATGCAATAACCTTTAAAATTTTAAACAGGTGGATGAGTCATAGTTGATCCATTGTTTTTCAACGACTTCTAAACCCCTCCAAGACTGAATTATTTGCCACCCTTTAAGTCTTGTCCAATCAAAACATGATTATCATAATTTTCTTCTGATGATTATGTTGCCTAGGAAATGAACAAAGATGAATGTGAATTGAAGGGAATATCAGAATCTGGTGGATTATGTGTAATTCTGTGAGAACATTGCAGAATTGTTGTGCGTTGCGTTATAGTCTTCTAATGTAAATATTGATAAATACAGAGAAAGTGAAACACTTCCGCCAGTGCCTTTCTCTCTCTCTCAGTGAATAGTGATTTTGCAATCCTGTGATTGCTATGTCTGGTGATTAGAAAATGCTAGTATGTCAAAACTCTGATTAGTAAACAATCATGGACACTTCTTTTTAATCTGTAAACTTGAACGGTATTAACTCTTTGAAGTGTTGCTAACTGCAAGTTACCTCCTCATCTGAAAGGAGACAACAGTTTGGCTAGCAAATGTTAATAAAAAGTTTGAACTTTACTGGTGTCGTTGCGATCATCAGTAGTGTTGATTTCCTTGAGGATCTTTGTACAAGACTCAGAATTTTGTTTATCTTTATTTCTCTTTTGTAATTCCAGATTAGAGAAGGCAGGGTTCAAGGTGTTGGTCAATGCCTTGCTACCGAGTATAGAATCGTCTGTCATGTTTTGCGAGGAGACTTCAGCAAGGATTTCTTTGAGGTTTTCAGTTGACTTGGAAAAATAGCTTTGTCCCCCCCATTTACAGTACATTTCATTCATGTTTGACACATCAAATTCATGCGCTTTCAGGGCTGTCGAGCTATACTATTGGATAAAGATAGGAACCCCAAGGTTTGTGATTAGTCCGATTGTGTGCCATCATTTGTCATTTATGTGATTAGTCCGATTGTGTGCCATCATTTGTCATTTATGCACATGTTGATACTATTAACTTTATCTTAATCCTTGACAGATTGGTAAACTTTTAACTTGTTTAATCGTTTCTTACAATTTGGTTCTTCATTCATTAAAATCCTGACAATGAAAACATCTCATCCTATTTCTATCTAAAATCTAAGGTCCCTAGCAATCTGTTGACTGGAGCATTGTTTGTATGGCCTTGAAGTCAGCAGGCCTCAAAATTTTGGATGGAGATGAGATAAAAGGACAAGATTATTGTCATTTTTATAATTGTTGGGTTGAATTGAATGTAAGGATCTGTGTAGAACCAAATTGAAAGTTCTTTCTATCAGGGACCAAAGTAGGGTTTTCATCTGTCAGTGAATCATGATATTCCACTAGTTCTTACATTGTTATATCTTCTTCAGTGGGAGCCTTCCAAATTGGAGCTTGTAACTGATACAGACGTTGACATATACTTCTCCAAGGTGGACGAGGAATGGTGGAACGACTTGGAGCTTCCCAAAAGGTTCGACAATTTGCCTGTTTGGGCCATTTCAAAGCTTTAGAGCATCATATCACCAATTCCTTGCCAACCAAAAGCATAGAATTCAACTATGAAATAATATGCCAGAATGTCAGTGTCAATTGGCTTCTTGAAACATTCCACATGGTAATCCATTGACTGGCCATGATATGTATTTTATAAACTCAGTATATATCAATAAGTTGAACAGTTACATAGGACTTGATGTTGTATAAGCTTACTTTACATTACAATTTAGAATAGTTGTTTGTAGCAGCATTTAGACTTTTTTTTGGGTTAAAGGAAAAAATTTCCCAGAAAGTTTTGGGTTTGGCTTGCTCAAAAAAAAAAAAAAAAAAAGGAAAGAAAGAAAGAAAGAAAGAAAGAAAGAAAAAAGGTTTAATTGGCATAATGTTACCTTAAAAAAAAATAAATGTTGCCATATAATAATGTTTGACTAACATTGATTGTTAATTGAACAATTTTGACTAGGTTTAAAGGGAAATATTGTCATTGGAAATATTGTCTTGGGAGATTTTTTTTTTTTTAATGTACAATTAGAACATGTTTGGTATCTGTTCTTAAAAAAAAAAAAATTTATTTGGATGAATGTTTTGAATTTAAATTGTTTTTAAAACTATTTGTAGAAATATGTATCTTAGTTTTTATCATGACAAATTTAGAAAATACGTTGTATTTAATAAACTTATTTTACCCCAAGAGCTTAAAGGTATTTAGTTTGAAGGTTAATTTGATCATTTTCGTTGTTTTTTCAAATATTCCTAAAATTTTTGTAGTGTCTTAAATTTTGAAATTCTTGCTTTCTTCTGCTTTTGTCTTTTGCTTTCATAATCTTCCAAGTTGTTTTATCTTTCTTTAAATCCTTATCTCTTTTGAAATTATCTGTATGATTTCAAAACCTGAGCATGATATATTCATCCTTTGAGTTTTGAATTTTTCCGTGAGCTTTTGAAAATCTCCGGCGTTATTGATAAGAAATTTCGATATGCTCTATGAATTTCCAAAGTAATTTCAGAATTTCAAAATTCAAAGTTATTCCTGCATTTAAAAAATAATCTTGTCTTTTTTTAAAAAAACAAAATCTTGTCTTTTTTTTCTTTTAAAAAAAAATTCTTGTCCTTCGAATATTGTTCTGTATTTCGAAAGCCTCTAAGCACTCACTTTCTTGTTTTTGATGGTGGCTCCTTGTTTTGAAATTCTCTGATTCACGTTTATTTCCCTTCTATGTCTGGAGTTTCGATAGTCACTTCGTATTTTGAAATTCTATTTTCTATGTTATAATTCTTTCGATACAAAGCCATTTCTTGAGCTTTCCAATTCTTAAACATTGATAATTTCAAATATTTCTTTAAATTTTAAAATTATACTTTCTTTATCAAAATCTGAACTCGTGCTCTTCGAAACAGACCTGGGTAATTTCTCTTTGTTACTTCTGAACAAACTTACTCCAAATTCTCTGGTTTTATTTCTCTTATCATGGGTTCAATATTCCTCGTCTCTTAAATTCGTGATTTTTGGGCTTTAATTATTTATTCCTTGTTCTCTAAATCACGATAATTGTATTTATTTCGGAAGTAACTCTGTGTTTCAAAAATAAACTAATATTCTTTCTTACCTATGAATTTCGAAACTCTATTACCTTTCGAAATTATCTCAATGGTAACAATATCAGAATATTAAATGCATATTTTGCTTTTAGACTAAAACGCATAACCTTATCGGAAAAACCTGTTCCATCCATCTTTTATGGGTAAATCTCAACTTTTAGCATTGGTTAAAATTGGATAAAGCAAACCAACAAAGATCAAGATGTAACCGATAAATTTATGAGTCTAATGGATAGTTCACACCAAACCAATATAAATTGACTCATTTATGAAGATAAAGATAGAGAATTACAATGGACAAGCTTAAGCATTCAATTTTCATCTACTATTTGTTGTATTTGTTTATTTTATTACAAATTTTATTGATTACATATTCATTCTTTTGAGAGAAATTTATTATGATTGATCATTAGAGTGAACATCCTCTATTCATTCCTAATTACCTTTGTAAAGAAGAGTAATACAAACTTATAGTCTTATTTGTGCCAAGGCTTCCAAGATCTCGAATCAATTTTGGAGGAGATAGTGAAAAATATCAAGTGACCCGATAAAACTTGAGAATTGGATGTAGACAAGTGATTAGCTAAACCAAGATAAATTGTTGCTGTTAATTTTCTTCATCCTTATCGGCTAATATTTATGATGATGGCATCTGTATCTCTTATCTATTTATTTAAAATTTATATGTACACCATCCTCATTTAAAAAAAAAATTGAAATATGCTAAAGTTGTTTTCATTATATTTTTTTTTTGTTTTTAAAATACATTATATTTGATTAATAAAAACTGCAATAACCTTGATTCATTACTATTATAAGCCACCACTATTAATCACTAGTGATTATCACCATCGATCAATTTTTAATTATAAAACTTATTTTTAATTAACACAACCAAATAGATTTTTTTTTACTTTGGTTTGAAAAACAGTTTTAAAAATTATATTGCAAAATAAATTTTAAAAATAAAAAACGAAAATATAAACCAAACAGGTGCTTAGTATCTTAAACTTTTAATTGTGCATTATTTTTAGTTTAAAAATGTCCAAATAAGAAGCATGATCTAATAATCTATTATCAATGTTCAAAAATGGTTCACGGACTTGCTTAAAGTTCACTGGGGACAAAACCAATCCTACTCAAGCAATTCACAAACTTGCTCTTCAGTAAATCTCTACCTGTGTACATAACCACGAACACACAAAGACTTACTTGTACCTTCTCGTAGGCAACATAAACTAGCCCAATATAGGAGGGAGGGACCTAAGTGAATGTAATTGAATTTTTGGTTAATTTGGCCGCAATGCCACCCTACCACTTACTTCTCTTATTTTATTTATAAATTAATTTTAATATATTTTATTAGTATTAAGAAAAACTTTAAAATTTATTAATTCTATCTTAAAATTTAATAAGTTTTCAACTTTATATCTATTAAATATACATACTTTAATAATATATTTTTTCTCTCCAACATTTAACAGAGGATAACAATGAAAATTTATGATAAAAATTTAATAATGTGACTTATAAATAAAATTAAAAAAATTTTCTCTCCATCTTATAAATAGAATTAAAGAGAATACAATAGAAAGTTGCATATTTAAATTGTATGCAAAAGATTTCACTCATGGCTCAATGGGAAGGCGTCCATTGATACCCATCCACTATAAACATTTTGTCAACGACACGTGCCTTTAAGGGGCAAGGCATCATGCTATAGGTTGGCAAATAGATGACGAACGCAAGTATTACTTCTAGTCTGGATTTCAAGTCAAAGACGTTTAATTATAATTCAACCAAAAATGTTCTTTTGATTGGGTACTGAGTGGCCTATTGTTGACTATCATGTTCCTATTGCGCCAGTGAGGCTTTGTCAATGCTCAATTGGTTAATGATATTATCAAAGTATAGAGATCCATTGGCACTGGATTGTTAGGAACACTACAAAAACTATGTAGCAAACATCTTCATCCAAATAACCTCCTTTAATGTTCAATGTGTGTTTTTTTTTTGGTGGTTTCGTGTTGGAGGGGATCACACTATCCAATAATAAAAAAAGTTATAGAAAACTCAATTTTTACCTATTTATTTATTTTTAGGGTGAATTACTTCTAAAGATCACTCAAATAAATTACTCATAGATAAGGATTAATACAGAATAGATTGTTATTAAAATAAAAACTTTGATTTATTTTTTTTAAATAGGACTTGTTATTAATTCTTGTCTGTGATAATTCACCTGAGTATTTTTTGAATGTAATTCTTTCTTTTTTAATAGCATTAGTTGTTTGGTATCAATATCTCCCTACTTTTAAATTATTTGTTCAGAACTCAAGTCTTATATTCTAGCAAAGGAACAAAAAAAAAAAAAGCAAGAACTTAAATTTTTTTATTACTCACAAATATCCTCCTATTGGAGACAATAATTATATTAGAGGCAAAGTCAAATATTAAATATGAGCACATTTTTGACAAGAATTTAAATATTAGTTTGCCATGTTATGTGGGACTAAACCTTTTTGCTAGACACAACTCTCATGGGTGAACTCAAGCCTTTTTTTATTTATTTATTTTTCCTTGCGTTAATTAAGGTTTTGAATATTATTTGTAACCAGTCTTTATTACAAAATATCTAGCTTCTAGAAGAAATGAGCGATTTTTATTACAAGCCACCAGATAGAATATTAATTAATTTTTTTTATATTATCTATATTTAAAGTTATTAACTATGAAAGAGAATGTAATATAAATTTAAATTTTTTTCATTTAAATACGTAAAAAATCAGAAATTTATTTTATTGTGAGGTAAAGTTATTAATGATTGAATCGATCGCTTCTGTTTTATACCTGTGATGTGGTTATAGAAATGTCATAACAAAGATAATGTCAAATAAATACTTCTTGCATTCACCCTAAAAATTTAAAATTTGCCCCATCCAATGTATGAGATCACGTTTCATCGCACCTGATCCATTTTTGTATTTATGCATCATAGATAATGAACAAATAAAATCATTCAAATATATATAGTTTAAATTTAAACTATAGTCATTTATAAAATTGTAAATAAGTCCAATTAAAATTATAAAATATTTTAAGTTTCCTAAATTTTAATAACTATGAATAACACTAAAACAATTTATATTATTCATATAAAATATAAAAATATTATTTTAACCAACTTTTAGTGGGCTTCTAACGGATTGTCAAGGCAAGCCTTACAAAGTGTTATGGCAAGAATCTCATAGGATTCAATGAATCTTTGTGAATACTTTGATTAATAATTAGTAATAGTAATAAATTCTCTAACATTTTTTCGGCTTTCAAATATTTTCTAAGCTTATAAAATATTAATCTCAATCTGACATATGAAAGTTACTTATTTCTCTTGTTCTATTTATAAGTTATTTTTAAACATGTTTTATAGGAATAAGAAAAATCTTAAAATTCATTAACTATCTCTAAAAATTTAATAAGTTTTAAATTTTACTCCCATTAAATATATATATATGTATATTAATAATTATTTTTTCTTTCTAACATTCAATGAAGGGTAAAAAGAAAAATTTGTGAAGAAAATTTAATTATATGACTTATAAACAGGAATAAAATGATTCTTTCCTATACATTAAATCTATTCACTGTATACTGCGAGGTGCATTAACTGATTCAACTGTTGTAATTGGATGATACGAGCATTTAAATAATGCTCATAAATGTATATACATGAACCACTTTCATTGTTTAAACGAATGAACACGCATTTAATGTGTCTTATTCATCAATGCACATGAACAACTTTAAAGTTATTCAATTCATTGGATAAAAGACTATGAATAATGAAATGCATCGTCTCATTTATCAACCTTTGTACAATTGAATGAATTGAATGCCAGAAAACGGTGCCTGGTTAACTAATATAAGGACAATGTAGTCAAAGTCATGATGAATTACGAGAAAAGAATGACAATGTATCTTCTAAATCCAAAGAAAGTACAAATTTTAAAAATAGAAGATAAGATTATAAATTGCCAAAACAAGAACCAATTAGTTTGCCGGAGACTAATATAAATAGAGGGAGAACACAAACAAGAGAGACCCACCACAGTTCTCAATAACTACTGATCTTCTAACAGTAGTTCTACAAAATAGCCATTGAAATGGGTCCTTTGATGTTGGCTATAGCAATATTTGGTGGTCTCATGTTGCTGAGATGGCTTCTTAAGAATGTGAATTGGTGGATCCATGAACGTCCATTAGGCGATAAGCAGTATAATCTACCTCCAGGAGATATGGGACTCCCCATCATTGGCAATATGTGGTCTTTTCTCTTGGCCTTCAAGTCTGGTCGTCCTGATTCCTATGTTGGCTCCATTGTCAACAAGTTAGTATATATACATACGTCAAAAACCTCTCTCTGTCTATTCTTTTCACAAACATGATTTCTGATCTGATTATTGGAACTTAATAATGCAGATACGGCAACACTGGAATATACAAAGCGTTACTGTTTGGATTTCCAAGCGTCATTGTGACAACTCCTGAAGGATGTAAGAAAGTTTTAATGGATGATGAAAAATTTGAGCCTGGTTGGCCTGCTTCCACAGTGGAACTCATGGGAAAGAAATCATTCATTTCAATCCCTTATGAAGAACACAAACGTCTAAGGCGTCTGACTTCTGCTTCCATCAATGGCATGGACGCCTTGTCCTTTTACTTGACCAAAATTGAAGACATTGCCATAACTTCTTTGGAGAAATGGAGTAAGATGGGAGAGATTGAGTTTCTCACTGAGCTGCGAAGATTCACCTTTCGCATCATCATGCATATTTTCTTAGGCTCTGAGGGAGACACCGTGATGCATAATCTGGAAAATGAGTACACAGCCCTAAATCTTGGGGTTCGAGCTATGCAAATTAATCTTCCTGGATTTGCATATCATAAGGCCCTCAAGGTAAGTATGTACAGTTGCACTCTATATGTTTAATATAACATTTTCTTTAAATCATGTGTGATTTGGTCTGTTTTGCAGGCTAGGAAGAAACTAGTGTCAGTATTTCAGAGTGTTGTTGATCAACGACGAAAGGAAAAGAAGGAAAATGTTCATTATAGAAAATCCAGGGACATGATCGATGGTCTTATGAATGCAGAAGATGAAAACGGAAACAAATTGGATGATGAACAAGTCATTGATACGATGTTAATGTATTTGAATGCTGGTCATGAGTCTTCAGGTCATACTACCATGTGGGCAACAGTTTACTTGCAGCAACACCCAGAATGTTTCCAAAAGGCTAAGGTACCATGAATTTGCCCTTCTAATTCCAAAATATTATAAAGTTTAATTTTGGAGAATTTGAGTTCAATACTATGCTATTTTCAAATTATGTTCCAATTGAATCCTAAGTTTTAACTTGTGCTAATGTATACGTCGATTATTTGTGCAGGCTGAGCAAGAAGAAATCATCAGAAGAAGGCCTCCAACACAGACTGGGTTGACACTAAAGGAAATTCGACAAATGGAATATCTTTCTAAGGTATCTATCAATCCAACACACACACTTTTGTATGTTCTGTAATTGCAAACTATTCTATAAACCTTAGATTAGACTAAAATCATCATATGCTATATCATTTTTCAATATAATGTGCTATGCTTGTTTCCCTTGATTGCACATGTAGGTTATTGATGAGACCATGCGTTTGGTAACTTTCTCATTGACTGTCTTCAGGCAGGCAAAATCAGATGTGAATATCAATGGTTTGGTTTCCAACCCATATGACTTTAATCAACTAATTCTCATGTCTCAAAAGGCATGAAATTCTTTTGCTTTTGGATAGACTGACTAATTTGAAACTATGCAGGCTACCTTGTTCCAAAAGGATGGAGAGCTCTTGCTTGGTTCAGGACTATTCACTATGATCCTAAGATATATCCAAATCCCATGGAATTCAATCCTTCCAGATGGGATGTGAGTTGCATATATACATATTTTCACATTCTAAAGTTAAATATTTCTATTAACATTCACTTGTAACAATATCTTTTAACCGTTCATTTTATTTGTGTATTACAGAATTTTGTCCCGAAAGCTACAGAGTTTATGCCGTTTGGAGCAGGAAGCAGACTATGTCCAGGAAATGAGCTTGCAAAGCTGGAGATTATTGTATTTCTTCATCATTTCCTTCTCAACTACAAGTACGTACACACCCATTAACTCGTCAATTCTAACAAAAGGCATACATTATCAATTTTTGATGTAATTAATTAATGTCTCGGCTGTGTTGCCAGGCTTGAACGTTTGAATCCTAAGAGTCCTGTGATGTATCTTCCTCATACAAGGCCCATTGATAACTGCGTGGCGAGGATTCACAAAGTCTTCGAAGCATGATCACTCTTGGATAGACAAATAAATAAAAGCCGCTATCTGCGCATTTATGGTTCTCTATATGTTGTTAAATATATATTTTCTATTTACATGTGTGTTCAATGTAGTGAAAAGCAAGTCCTAAGAAAGATCCTCATGTTCTGAACTCTTGTACGGGTGATGCTTGATTATCAAATAATAATAATAATAATGATCAGGAAAATATATCCTGTGTTCAATGATATTTTATAAGTTAGCACTCCAAAAAAGTGTGAAAAAAATTAATCATTTGTCATCCTATGATTTTGACTCAAATAAATTCAATCTTTAAATTTATTCATTGCTGTTTAGTGTTCATAGTTTTAACTTTTAACCATTTAAGATATTGATCTTTATATTTAAAAGAATAAAATTATTCCTTAAAATTTATGGACTAACATTTTAAATTACAAAAACTAGAGATTGAGTTGCAACATATCTAAATTATAGGGATTAAATTGTCATAAATTAAAATTTAAAGATTAAGTTACAGTCGGATAAAAAATATAAGATCAAATGATTAAATTTTTTAAAAGAAGTTTATGCAAAGCGTCATTGATTATTTGTTGCATATATGAAATTTTTATATCTTAAACCAGATCGTAAGGTAGTGTTGGCTATGAATTATGAAAACACATCGTGGGAAAGAGCACAGGGCATACATTTAATTAAAAACAGTGAAATATTTTTGTATAATATTTAATTTTATTAGATAAGATTTTTCCCACCATTTAAACAAGGAAGGATCCAACTATTACAAAGACGCATCTGTCCCACGCCAAGAACGTCGTCTTGTAAGAGCTTTCTCAAGTCTTGAGGAGGATGATCCAGAATTGATAAGATTTAAATATATTCATCATTACTTAAACTAATTTATTATTTTTACTTAATTTTTAAAGTATACACACGAAAAAGTCATTTTTTAATCTATATTTGTTTTTATTTAATGTGCATATGAATTAGCTCATATGTACAAGTACAGGAACACAGCCTGTCTTAATGATCTAGGATCATATACGGCCTTTTCATCGCTAGATTCTAACAAGTTAAATATTAATATTTTATATTTGTTAAAATGTCAGATGCCTCGTCTATGGGGGGATCAAAACGATGTTTTTAAGGTTAGAAAAAATTCATATCGCCATATCGCAAAATCAGAGAATTGGTTTTGACTTTTGAGGCATTAATCCCTTTAAAGAGTGATTGCCTGCACATGGAGGGGATTACAAAATACAAAGAATTCTTTTCTATAATATAACAAATTAAAGTCTTTTGGTATAAAAAATCCTCAACATGCACTTGTGAACTGAGAAAATTTATCGACAATGAACAGATGACATCTTAAATGATCTCGCACGTCCAGTAGACATGCCAGTTCAATTTTCCAAACTTGTTTAATTTCAAATTAATAGACCCACCTTTTCTAATTATTTTTGGCGCAAATATTCATTTTTCTAATTTATTAAAAGACATATCTTTTATAATTCAACACGCTTTCATGTTTATTTGAAGTTAACAAACATGTAGTTTAATTTTTTTTTTAAAAAAATTAATTGACAATTCTTTATAGTTTGTCTCAATTTTGTATCAAATCTCTGTAGTTTATTTTCTTTGAATTGGGTCCTTGTATTTTAATCTGTCACAGGTTGTGACCAATGGTGGAGCCACATTAGACACTTTGGGAAAAATTATAAAGTATATAAATTTTGTATCTTTACACTCTTTGAACTATTAACTAATTAAAAAATATTTGGGCCCAAAAACTTATTATATATAATATTCTAGTTATTTATATAAGAGATGAAGAGCATATTTACAATAAAAGACTTCAATCTATTCAATATAATATTTTAAAATAAAAAAATGATCAATCTATTTATCTTATTATAATTTTATTCCTAGCATAATTATTATTTTTAAAAAATATTAGTTTTTTTTATTAAATTATCTTGTATCCATCTGACTCTAGGTCCTAGCTCTGCCACTTGTTCTAGGAATCTATCCCTAAATATACAAACAGTCATAACACGGTTAATTTTGATGAGTTGGAGGTTGATCGGGCTTGACAAAGAATGGTGAAGTGGATTAAAATTGCTGTATAATAGAATGATTAAAAATAACGTGTATGGTGATAGCGACTGAATGGCTTGGAGTTAAAAGATCTTGCTACGCATAACATGGCCTTTGTTTTCACAAACTTTGTTGGGAAGTCCTACACACTTAGAATTCTTTATATGTAGGTAAAAGTATTTAAAATAAATTAAATTACAAATGTGGTGATGTGTTAATTCCAAACATTAAAAGAAAGAGTTAAGGCAAAAGTTGGGTTGTAAGTGACTGATAAGTCATGGTTAGTACTTGTTTTGGTTTAATTGGATTTATTTGATTAATATTTGTCATTAAAGGGCAAAAATATTTTTTAGGGAATTTCTGGTATTTATTTCATAAATTTTTTTAATATTATTTTAAATTCTATAAAATACATTTTCAAGTGATTTTATCATTTCATGTGTAGGTTGACTTGGAATCAATGATTACAATATACATCAATTGGACACCAAATTAAAGGAGATATTAGAGAAAAGAGAAGAGGCAAGTGGCAAAGTTACATTGGTAGAAGAGTTGAGGATGGTTGGAGTACAAAATTTTGGATGGATATATGGTTTGCTAGGGATAAACCTCTAGCTCAAATGATGATACTAAAAAATACTTTTAATGTTAACGAAGTGGTAGCTGATTTTTTTTTTTAATTACAAGTGATAAACAAAGTAAACAAGTTACAACCTAGTTAGAAACAAAGGAGGTAAGTCTCTCTTCATCCACCACCTCAATACAATAAAAGTGGGGTGATAAAAAATATACCAATTTCCTAGATAAGGTAAATTAATCATTCCTAGTTAAATAATGAGCACAAAAATTAATTTCTCTAAAAAAAAAATTAATTGTAACATGCCAATCTCTTTGCCAGAGCACCCTAGCCTGTCCATGATATTTGTGAAGGAGTGTTGGTCCAAGTTGCTCTTGTCGAAAGATGAGATTGATAGCTTCTGTACAATCAATGAAAACCTTGACCCTGCAAAAGCCTTTATTCCAACATAGATGCAATCTATGTATAATGCCAATCATTTCAATGAGTGCCACTACCCAATATGCCTTGCTGTCCCTAATGACACTGCCACACTTCCCCATTCAATCTTAGATCGGTCCATTGACATCTAGCTTGACTTTGTTGCTTGCCCATGTTATATTCATAAAATTGTTCGTACTCCTGTTTCAAGAGTTGAGAGAAGAGAGGATTATTACTAGAAAAAACCAATTTAGCGTGGCCAAATCCCTTGCTAGATTGAATCCTTATCTAATTTTGCTACTAAATATCAAGACACTAAATTTAGCAACGGTAGGTTATTCCCTCACTAATTAGAGAGGCATATTGTCCCTTGCTATTTTGTCACTAATCATGTCTCATTATTTCCTACTTATTTACATTCCCTTGCTAATTTGTTATTAACCTCTAGAATTTCATGTTATTTCATTACATTTTCCTCAATTTATAATATATTTTAGCATAATAATATATATTTTGATTACTCAAATTAGAAAAATATGTATCTTGTTTTGAGTTTGCATACATACTTGACTTTAATTTGACACTTTGCATTATTTTGGTTTAAGGTTTTGGTTGAAAATATTTTTGGACCCTTGATGATGTTTTTGAAAGGCTTTTAGCCAAAATCATAACAAAAAATGTGAATTTATTTGTGACTTTTGCTGTTATTAGCAAAACATTATGTTTTGTTTACCTAAAAATGATTCAATGGAATACATATATGCATCTTGCTCGAACAACCCATAATACATTCTACACACTCGAAGATACTTTGAGAGTATGGTTGTGCTAGCAAAAGTTGAAGTTTTGAAAACATTTGAACCTCAATTTCTTTAGTTTTATTTTTTTCATTATAATCTAATATGACTGTGAATATTTTGTGTATTTGTAACTTTTTGATAATTATGAGGAGCTAAACTCTTTATTCCAAGATTATTTTGAACTCTTATATGGATTAACACTAATTTTTTCCTTTTTTTTATTAATGATATATATGTTTTTTTTTTTTCACTTTTCTCTTAATGCTTCAAAGTAATTGGCAGCTATTTGGTTGATTTGTTCATTTAAGTGATGGTTGAGAGGGCTAGCTTGAATATAGAACTTGAGTAAAATATTGCAAGAACTTGAAGTTTGCATGTTGAATGGATAGTTTTGTTAGTAAGATAAATATATACTTACTAACCTTGTATGGCCACATTATAGTTGAAACTTAAAATTATCATAAGAGATTGAAAAATTAATTTAACTAAATACTTATTTATAACTTGAGAAAGCCTGTTCAAGTATTTTTAGAACTTTAAATTAGCACTTATTTTCATTATAAGAACATTTATAAGAGGAGATAATTTTAGTGTTATTGAATGTTTAGGAAAATAAACAATCCTAAGTCCCCTTTTAATCTAAAGTCTGAGAATCAATTTGATAAGTGGGTGTTGTATCTAAATTTATATATAATTTATGTTCTTACATTGGCTAATTAATGTGTGAATTGAAGATGAAATTAGATGAAATATCTTATTTGCAGATTTTGAAATATTTACAGAAAAAATGAGTGAAAATAACATATAAAAGGCCAAAAATATGGAGTATCGGATCAAAGCCCAGTAGTCAGGCCTAAGAGCAGTTTCCATGCTCAGACAAGGTCATCACCAGACATCTCCATTCAGACGTAATATACCACGTTGATCTTTGAGCATCTCTGCCACGAATGGCCGAGGACAACAGAGTACAAATATTCACCCCTCGTGGACGTTGCCAAGTTTTGATATTCGACCACACGCAGAGACCCAAACAGACATGGAGCTTCGACTTTCGACTGCGCACGAACAAGTTAATTATAACTGGGTTCAACCACGTGCGGACTAAGGCCTAGAAATGCAAAATATCACCAAATCAGATAAGATTAAGCATG